AGCAGGAATAGCGAGAATGTCTATAAGATGCGGCGATAGTAGAAAAGGCGTCGGGATAGCCATGGATAATGAAAGTTCAAGATTGCTAAGAAGGGAATGTGCAGAGATTTTAGAATCAATGAAGGTATTATTTGTCCTACGTGTATTTATCTTAGATCTAAAAAAATTAATTATATCTTGCTGTTGCATAAATGTATACATACTTTTAGCAATTTAGCGAGGCTGCGCAATTATACGAAAAGGCTGAATATTTTGACAAAGCTGCCTCTGCATATATAAAGTTGAAAAATTGGCACAAAGTGGGACAACTCTTGCCGCAAATATCGTCGGCAAAAATTAACATACAATATGCTAAAGCCAAAGAGTCGGAAGGTAAATATGAGGAAGCTGCCAAAGCATATGAAACCGCCAAGGATTACGATAACATAATCAGAATTAATCTGGAACATTTAAATAATCCTGGTAAATATATCTTGTTTATTTCTCTATATATAAAATTTATTTTAATAAGAAACGTTAATATCTAAATAACATATTTGATTATTATTCTATTTATACAGCTCGCAGTGTTGAAGTTGTTCAAGAAACTAAAAGTATAGAAGGTGCAAAAATGGTTGCAAGATATTTTCAAAAGATGAATGATTATAATTCAGCTATTAAATTCCTAATTTTATCGAATTGTCACGACGAAGCTTTTCAATTAGCTAATCAACATGGTAAAATGGAATTGTATGGAGAGATTTTGGTGAATACAATTGATGATACTAATGTTCGTAAAGAAGATTTTAGAAGTCTTGCTATGCATTTTGAGTCACAAAAAAACAATCTGTTAGCTGGAAAGTATTATTTCCATGCTAAAGAGTATCAGAAAGTAAGTTTGCAATATTTCATTTCTGGTTATGTAAATGTATAATTAATGATATTTCAATGTGAGTAATATTTTTAGGCTTTGCGACATTTATTAAAAGCTGCACAGTTGGTTCCGGACGATGACAGAGCAATCACTTATGCCATAGACACTGTCGCATCATCTAAGGATGATAAATTAGCTAATCAATTAATAGATTTCCTACTAGGTAGCGATGGAGTACCAAAGGTTACTATTATATAATTACTTACTATTATATTCAAATAGTTTGCTAAATATAAATATCAAGGATATAAGTATTTTTTAAAGCGCTATTTTTGAATTTTCTTTCTAGAAATAAAGATATATAAATAGCTACATTAAATGTAATTTATGTAAATTTATATATATTTTATTTTCCAGGATCCAAAATATTTGTTTCGATTATACATGGCTAGAAAACAATATAAAGAAGCGGCTAAAACAGCGATTATAATTGCAAACGAGGAGCAAATTAATGGTATATATTAATTAAAAATGTAGAACGTTGTTGCATAATAATCTTTTTTCTTAGTTTTTAATCTCTTTTTTTAATCTTTTTAATTTCATTTTTTTTCTCAATTTCAGGCAACTATAGAAACGCTCATGATGTTCTATTTGGAATGTACCAAGAATTGAAGAGGAATAAAATTACAATACCTTTAGAGATGCAGACCAATTTGAGACTTTTGCATTCTTATATTCTGGTGAGATTACACGTGAAAAGAAGCGATCATTTACGAGGTGCCCGGATGTTGATCAGAGTAGCTAACAATATATCGAAATTTCCCTCACGTTAGTATGAAAAAAGTAATAACAATTAATACAAATGAATTGATGCTCGATTTTTACATATACAATAATTTATATTTTTTAGATATCGTACCGATATTAACTTCGACTGTAATAGAATGCCATAGAGCGGGCTTGAAAAACGCAGCTTTTAATTTCGCAGCTATGCTGATGCGTCCCGAGTATCGGGGACAAATAGACGCAAAGTATAGTAAAAAGATTGAGGCGATCGTGAGAAAAGCACCAAGAACGAAAGATATCGAGAATGAGGATGAACCTCTCACACCGTGCCCATACTGCAAGAGTAGACTTCCCGAGACTGAAGTAACCTGTGATAAATGTAAAAATACCATACCTTTTTGTATCGCAACGGTAAAATTTTATTATATTGCTATTCAGAAAAATTTTTTTTTAAATATACAAGCATTTTTTTTTATTTTTATCATTACTATATTTATTTATAGGGACGGCATATTGTGGAGGATGATTTCACAGTATGCCCCCAGTGTGATTTTCCAGCCATCAGAAGTGAATTTCTAAGGTAAATATTGCACATATAGTAAGAAAAACAATAAAAGTGCTTATAATAACTTGTAATGTATGCAATAGGATTGTCGAGTCTGAAGAGACTTGTCCTATGTGCTCCGAGAGAGTTAATCCTGAAATGGTATCATCCATCACTGATATCCATCCGTATCTCGACTATCAAGGGGAGAAGAAGGCGTAATTTTTACATATTTAAACATAAAATACACATCCTTTATTAGTGTATAGAGAAAATTTATAGTTTACACAAACTAGGGAACAAATATTATTTTATAGACGTTTGCTAGTAGCTATTTATCTACTACTGCACAAATCAAATGTGCCTTGTTATTATCATATGTCTTAGACGAATACAATATAATCACGAGAACAATTAAAATTTGCAAATATAATAGGAATAGTAAATAGTAAATATTCTGATTGAGTTGTGGAAACGATAAAGCGTCAGTATTCTCGATGTAACAGTGCCGTCCACTACAAGTACAATTTATTTGAGTACAAGTATATAGATTTTACATTAGTAATATAAATGTATTATATAAAATATAAAAGAACCAGAGTGTTATTTGTGTCATGCAAGCTGCATTTTAATGTAGAATAATTGCCATAAAAACGTGAAATAAAACGATTGACTCTGCGCATTTAACAAGTATGTGTAACAGAATATGAAGCAAATATTAATATTTGTAATATCGTCAATTAATGTTATATATATAATCGTTGCAGCTATATATCGATATCGTATAACAATTTTCCTGCAGGAAATCTCAGAGATTAGATTAGCAGATAAGAAGCTACATTTCGCAAATTTTACATTACGTAAAATAAAAAAGAAATCAAGATCCATCGCAATCATCATAACATATTCGGTCTCGTGACTATGATAATTAACCTAACCTAATGGTGAGAAATTCTCGCATTGCGGAGCACATAGACATAGTATGTCTATGGCGGAGCATATCGGTAACACGTGACTTTGCGTAGCATGACTTTGAAGAATCGACGCATATGATGACTTGTTTTTCTCGTCAATTCTGTTGGATAGATATTTCGCAATATATATACATGATGAGATATTACAATAGATCGCATGATAATAAAATAGGAGCGCAATTTTTCTATTTTATTTTAAAATTCTAAGCCCCTCTAAACCATAGGAAATACCAGAACTCTGATCGACTCGTAATCAGCCTTTTTTTTTCCTTCGCGAAATAACTGTTTCTCTCTCTAAAGAAAAAAAAAAAAAAAAAGCAGGAAACGGTACATTTGCGGAAAAAAGCCAACAATAATTATGAATATGCGTATAAGTTGATAACGATTTAGAGCGAGTTTCTTCAAATTAATGACGCATGATCGTTTAAACTTACTACTATGTAGCGACGAAAATATATATAAAATATAGACGCGGAAAAATGCACGTATTTATTCGTAAACTATATATTATGTGTATACAGTAGAGATATCGTGTATTGCGATATCGAAACCGATGGATATCGCCAGCATTAAAACAAAATTGCATCATCAACGATTGAAAAGTTTACAACTGAATCCTACCATGATGTAAATATATATTTTATTATTAAATATATAATATATATAATATAATACATATATATTATATATATTATTTACATCATAAATCTTCTGTATAACGTGATATCAGATACATAATATCAAGAGAGAAATTTTCATTTGTAAATCATTTTTATTGAAAATATGCCACTATAGTTGGCGCATCTTTTTCGAGTGTCCAATGAGCAGGCAATATTTTTAAAATATATTTTTAATATTTATTGTTCATTAATTGTACGTTGTACAATTGATTGTAAAAATAATATTTATTTAATGTTTATTAATTATTTATTTTACATGAAATATTCGTTTGAAATAGCAAATATTAATATAAACATCTTTTAAAGAATAAAAAGGGACTTAACCCATTATTGTAATATTTATAAAAATGTTTTCCAAAAAATTTTTAAAAACATTTTCAAAAATATTGTCTGCTCATTGGGTGATTTCCAGCTTGACCGTGCGCGAAAATCTTCTTCGGGGGATATGATCGCCGACATCTCTCAGTGTGTACAGCCCTGGGACATTACCACCACATCACGGTGCGGCCACGTAGGAATGGTATAGCATACCGCGACGTGAATCGTCAACCCGTCCCGTGGTTGTTCTGTGCGTATACGACGCGACTTGACATCTTGACGTGGGATTATCGCGGCGCGAGCGAGTCATACGGTCCTCGGAGTCAGCTCGAGTCATACGGCGCCTACTCTGCATCATTAATTATTTTAGTCTGCGACTCCTCGCCGATCGGGAGCTGCTATCGTCGCTATCGTTTCCGTATCGTATCGAGACGCGTCGTCGGCGAACGCATTCGCATAGTACGCGTTTACATATATATATATAGTTATAGCGAGAAGTCGGGGACACCGTCATTCGATCGGCGCGCGACTTCTCGTTCGCGTAACCTCTCGTCTTCTTCGGCGGCCTCTTCTCGCCCGCTTGGACAGGTCGCTCTCGTCAAGATGGCCGAGAAGAGCGGCTCGCCGGCTGCTGCGACCACTCAGGAACAGCAGCCGCAGTTTCTGTCGAGCTTTATCGGCGAGATCGTCAAGAGCCCGATAAATCTCGCCCTGGTGGGCGTGATCGCCATCCTCGTCTACAAGATCGTCAAGGGCCGCACGAAGACCGAGGAGCCCGTGCTTGAGGTGAAGAAGTTGCCCAAGCTGCGACGCGACTTCGCGATCGAGGAACTGACCAAGTACGACGGCAAAGGTCCGGACGGCCGGATATTGGTCGCCGTCAACGGCAGCGTATACGACGTCACCAGAGGCTCCAAGTTTTACGGCCCTGGTAAGCTTCGAGGCTACACGTCGACGATCAATTTTTTTTTTTTTTTTTTTTTTTTTTTTTTTTCGTCGCCGTTGATCTCTAACACTGGTGGAGATCAAGCTCGAGTTTTTCGAACCTGTACGAATCAATTTGAGAGATTCTCCGTCTCTCTCTTTAGCGCACTTTATTACAGTCATTTTTATTAGCTTGCGATGCGAAGGAACGCCCGCGATGATATCATCGTGCGCGCGTAAAAATAAAATTGCAAAAACGCACGATTGTCATGATCAATTGTGCCTTTCTGCGTCTTGCGATATTAAGCCGGTAACGATAATAGCGGTTTATCCTGTTCCCCCTGATGTATATGCGGGGAAAGAAAATCTTACCTAAATATATATTAATGGAAGGATATATCGTCAGAAACTGTGAAATCGTTTTCGCTGAATCTTGATAAGCCGATCAAATAAAATGATAAAGCTATTAATAGATACAAAACATCATGTAATCGCGTATATAAAATAACTTTTAGAATTTTCAAATTTGTTTTGCGTTTTTTATATCGTTGATAATCTCTGATGAGAATAAAGAGAAACCGATTGTATGCCCTTTATTCATGTAAATAAGCAATAATTTTTTAAAGAATTTGTGTGCCATTACTTCTTTCACATAGGTGGACCATATGAAGCGTTTGGCGGTCGAGATGCCAGTAGGGCACTAGCAAGGTTTGCAGTAGATGCAGCGACAGATAAATATGATGATTTAAGCGATTTGAATACTACAGAAATGAATTCTATCAAGGAATGGGAAGAACAATTTAAAGGTGAGTGACTTGGCACATACTAATAGAATTGCTTTGTAATGCCATTTGTATAAATGTAAAAAAATGGATAAAAAATTAGATACGACATTAACATTAATGAGTACATTAATGCAGTATATTTTTATGTAAATATGTTATCAATAAGATATATGAGAGATAAATTTCTAAAGTTTACATATAAACATAATTCTTTATACTTTATCTTCATTTCAAGTAATAAATTCTATTTAAGTCAAAGCACGATCACTTTGAATCTCATGAATAATGAATGAGACTATGGTTCAAGGATTTTTTATTACATACCTCTCCATTTTAGCTTATGAAGATAATGCAGGAGTTTAAATACTAAGTCACGATCAAATAGTATTATATATATAACTTATATTTTTTATATTTTTTCCTTTTTTTTTTTTTGTTTTGTTACAGAGAGGTACGATTACGTCGGAAAATTATTAAAACCTGGCGAAGCACCTACAAATTATTCGGACGAAGAGGATGAGGGTAGCCAACAGGAGACTGAAACAAAATCGGAGAACTATGAAACGGAAACAAAAACGGATCATAGTGAGACTGCGGGAAAATCAAAGAGCGATTGACCACATCATTGTACATTGGAGGCAGAACTTTTTCGAAAGCACATTACGCACACACTGTTGTTACAGAAATTTTTGAAATTATCGCTCATGAATACATTTCTGGACGTTCAACCGAATATTTTATTACTTCATAACGATAATCGGATAAAAAGGCGAAATACTGGCTTTTAATCGAGTTGGAAGTATACAAACATTTTGAAAAAAGCTGGTGGTTACACGCGAAGACTTTATTTGAACATCTAACTTCTGATCAGAATGGATGTTCTCTCGTGTCTTTTAATGTTTTTATATATGTACAAAAAATTTTCTACAGATTGCTAAGCTAAATCAATGGCAAGTAACAAAATAGTATATATTCCATTGTAAATGTTTTTCATTGAATTAATTGTATCCTGCTGTGCAATGTGCAGTAACGATACACATTGTATATCCATATGAGAATAGCAGTATGATAAAGTTTCTGACATGCATTTGGAGTTTTAGCTTTAAGTTTATCTATGGAATATCTTTATGCCGCGTTTAGGCAATTCCGTGATTTATAAAAATTACAGTATCGAATAGTCATACATTCAAAACATACATTTTGAAACAATTCGCTTCTGAATAAATTTCTGATTACCGCTTATTAATTGGATAAAGTATTAATAGTTATATATTTGTTATATTTTTAATACAATTGAGCCCCCCAGATTTATAATTATTGCATGATACAAAATGTAGCATCATAATATGGAAAGCTTTTTCTCATTTCTGTCAAACGAGGAGAGCAATTTCAAATTGTATATTTTTTATGCAAAACTTTTAATTGCTAAAACAATACTAAAAAGCGGATATATAATATGCATATAAAATGTAATAATTTCTTTTATATATATGAAAATAATCAATATATATAAAATTTCTGTTATAGATTTTAACAATATATAATTTTGTTATAGCTTACAAGAGAGTACGGTGAATTGTATTTGCGTACTTCCGTGTAATGTTGCCTCTCAATAGAGAGGCACAAATTTTACAGAGTATCAATTTATTAACGCTGATGATTTGTTCACTACAATAAAATAAAAACATGGTTTTGGTAGATAGTTATATATCTAAATAAGTTTATGTGAATAAAGATAAATTAGAGCTATGTTACACATATATATTTCCACATACATATAAAGAGTTTGCATGCATTCCCTGCATAATTTAATATTTCGTCAATATATAATGTATAAACATCGAATTGTATTTTATGTCTTGTTGGCATTTAAAAAATAAGAAAATTATTTATTGTATACTACACATTCTGTTAATTACATAAACATGGTGTATATAACTTATCATGGTTAGATATAGTATCAATTATGGCAAATAAAGCTTTATTATTGTTTATATCAATTGAATAGCAAGAGTGCATACAATTATATACAGTTTTATTACAATGTACATAAATTATAAAATACACTCTTCCATTCTTTATTCTAAAAACAATTATCCTCTGTTGTATAAAAAACATTAATTTTTTGTATTATAGAGAAGAACGCATACAAAATAACAAAAATAAAATTTTTTAACATTTCTCGGATACAGGAGAAAGAGAGAGGGAACAGGGGCATGTTTGATTTACAGATACCAGCCGGTTGGGCGTTTATCTCGCCTCGTGGTAATAGTCTTTTTGGAATACGCGACGCGCGCCGATCTGAGCTCGAGCAAGAATCGACCTTGCTTCTTCAACCCGATGCAACGCGTCAAGATTACGCGCCCCTCACGTCATCGTTTCATGGTATTAAATAAACATCTCTTCTCGAATTTCCCTTATGCGGCGACGCAAAGGATCGATGCTCGATCGACATACGAGGACGACGCATTCTATTAATTAAAGCGGTGGCTAGAACAGAAACACGTTATAAATTATTCCAAAAAGTTATTAAAGCTGTTGTTTCATCTTACAAAAAAATGTTTTGAAATACACAACTCTACTGATTCTCGATATAGCTTCCGAGTATTTTTTACGAGACAAGATAAAAGCTTAAAATTCATTTCTCCCAAAATAAGATTTTTGATTTTCTTTTCAGTATCTTTGGATTTTTATGTATATAAAATATATCGAGAGGGAGAGAGAAATATATAATATAATTTTTTTCTTGGCAGAATATAAATATATCATCTGAATGTTTTTGTTTACAAACAAGTATATATTTTCAATCTTCAATGATTAATTTAAATATGTATTATTTATTCCGCGCACGCGTGCATTTTAATTGAGATATATAATCCTATTCAAATATAATTTCTTATACTGGATGTACTGGGATACATAGAGAATGTATAATAATTTTCAACAATTTAAATGAGCTATTTCGAGATGTTTCAGTTTTTAAATCATTCTCAATTATAGATCGGAGAATTCGTTGATTCGCGAGCATTTTACAACCGATATAATAAAGATTTTATAATAGTTTTTCATTCTGTTTATTTCGTGAGTCGATGACGAATTGAAAAAGAATGTATCGGTAATAAGTGATTACGAAAGCTTTCTCTTCTTATCGCGTTACTAGCGATATCAACGGTACGAAGCTGCGTGAAAATAGTGGCCGTTCTTCTTCATATGATGATCGGACGCAAACATAGATACGATTTATTTTCGTATCACCATGTGTACATATCATTTACCAACGTTTTTACATTCAGTTATTTCCTTTCTCCTATAATCAAAATTTAAGATATACGAATTATATAATCGTGCACTATTTTGGAAAGTAATTATTATGGAAAAGTAAAACTCTCTAAATATTCTACAATTTTTTTTTTATTTAAAAAATATTTTTTTCTGTAAAGGCTTGGGAAAAAATGGATGAATATAGGTAATATGATTTCCATTAAATTCAAGTTTGTTTTGTTTAAATATGAGTTATAAATTAATCTATAACCAGCAGAATATTAAATGAAATTTCCTTACCAAAACTTTTTGGTAAGGCTCTAAAACTTCGTGTCGTACTTGGCTTTTTTCAATCTATTGTTTATCAAATATATTATATATATACTTGCGTTTTATTATCGATTTTTAAAGATCAAAAGAGCTTTCGTGATTCTTATCTAATTTTCAATCGGAATTTTTCTTCTTTAAAGAAACGAGGTGATAATTTATGCTACCCGGGTGTAATATATCGATGACCGCCGGTCATTTTCTTATCTATCATCGATGAACGTCGTCATTTTAATTTTGAAAACATGGATAATCGATTATTATTTTCTTCTTTGCCACAAATTTTGATATTGGTGGCCAAGAGCATAATAATAATTTTTTAAATTACATTCCAAAAAACGTCCTATCCGAGGAAAATTTTACTCGATAAAGTCGACTCGGATTCAATCGAAAACGCTGAAAAAAAAAAAAAAAAAAAAAAATTTTTCGGAAGGGCCATTGAGTAAAATGTTCCTCGGAGGGGACATTTTGGAACGTAACCCTAAAATGATGCAGACATGAATGTGTACAATAGCGCGCGACACCCTGTATATTAATATCTTAATTAAGTTTTTTTCGTTAATGCCAAGCGGCGAGGGCAGAAAAGGGAGGAAGACAGCTTAAACATGCATACAAATAAGCGAGCGTGTACGCGTGTATCGCGGCAAACCGAAAGAGAGATGGGTCGATGCACCTCGCGCGGTCGTGCACGCGACACTAGACATAAATCGTAGACTGCGAAGCGACCGAGCGTGCTTAGCGAACGACCGGGGTATACGCGCGGGGTAACGATCGATTACACTTTTCCTAAATTCATGCGGCGTGAAGAGGCAAGCAGGAGAAAGAAAGAAAGAAAGAAAGAAAGAGAAAGAGAGAGAGAGAGAGAGAGAGAGAGAGAGAGAGAGAACGCTTCGGAACTGCGTGTATCGGCGGCTCGCCCGAAGTGTTTCAAGCGAAGACAACGAAGGAGTTACGTAACCGATGAATAATAATAATAATAATAATGGCTCGCATAGATTATTTCCCTTTCGCTGCGCAAGTCTCATTCTTTACGGAGTCCTACATCGCATCGATCTATCCCATCGAGATATTATTCTCGATCGAAAATCACGTGACGAGGACAACTCGTCGATCCTACTCGTCTCAACGAGATCTTTTTTTTTTTTTTTTTATATATGAAGAGCGAGCAAGTCGATTGACCGCGGGGCCGCGAATCTCTGCGCGGCCTTATCCTCTACAAAAGTATATTACAGGTATATACAAAGAGCCCCGCTGTCACGCACAGCCGAGAAGCGGGTGGCTGCTGCCACGCCGTCATCCGATTCCCGTCCCATTTCCGAAGGCCCCTCCGCGCTACCCGCGAGCGTTCACCCGTTTCTTTTCCGCTTCTCTTCGTCGCGGCCGCCGCGGGCCGACGAGGATAGCCAACGTCGAGCGAGACGGAGACGCCGACAAGTTGACGCGCGATGCGTGCGTCGGGTCGCGTGCCGTTCGCACCTCCGTCCCGCGCGCGCGGAGACGAGCGTTCCGCGCAACGTGCCCTTTCCCCCTGTGAGCGCTGCCGCGGCCGTTCCTCTCGACTCGACCCGTCGATCGAGAGAGAGAGAGAGAGAGAGAGCAAGATAGTCGCGTTTTGCGACCATCTTGCGATCATCTATCGAATACTTGTTTCTTCCTTCGGCGCTTATGAGAATTCGAGAAATTGCCGCTCTATTCCACCGCTCGCGCTTGCCTCTCCGTGCTTCTGTCGATTCGGAGAAAGAAAGAGAGAAAGAGAGAGAGAGAGAGAGAGAGAGAGAGAAAGAGAGAGAGAGA